TAGGGCTCTGTAATACATATGTATAAATATATCATTAATTATAAAAGTATAATATAAAAGCATATAGATATAAATAAATCCAATATGGAGGCAGTAAGAATTACAACAGCTCTCTTTGTTTTATAAGAACTTCTGCCATAATAACACATTTTCTTAGCCTAGTGGTAATAGGGTTAACAGGAGGACACACACATAACAAAGAGTTTAGTAAAAGTTGAAAAAGATACATGTAAGAAACTTAACAGGATCACATGGTTTAAAAATTAAATTCAATAAAGGCTCAATACCCTGTGAAGCTAAAGTAAGAACTCATTAGCACTTAAAAGAAGGAATGTATATGCTTTTTCAATTGTCATTTGTTCTTTATTAGGAAGAAATATTAAATTCATATATGTGTGTATATGTATATTTTTAATCTTGTTCCATCTTATTATTTAACACATAAAAGTAACAAGTGTATTTGATACACTGCATATTGGATTGATTCTGTTCCTGGCTTTGCCATTGGTGAGTTGTAGAATCTTCTGGAAACAATTTACATCTCTGTGACAGTTCCCCCAGATGTGAAAAGTATCAAGTGCCAATGGATGATGGTTTTCTATTTTTTTATTTGCTGACATGTTCAAATAGTAAACATTTTGAAATATTTTAAATATCATATATTCTGATCTGTTATGTCAATAAACTACTTTCCAGTAACTAGAACCAAATTAGGCACTTTTGAAGGTTTATTTAAAATTTTCAAAGCATTAAAATCCCACATGATAATTTATGCTTTGTTGGAGTGAATTCATGAGGAGATTCTTATCTCTCATAAAGCGCCAATAAAGTTGTCTAAATTGTCAGAGGAAAGAACTCGTGTAACTGTCCAAATAGTTATTGTAAAATTATTTTGCTGTAGAAGGGTGATAAACTACTTCATTAAGTAAAATTAAAGAGTTTGTTTCAATTTTGAACTTCTATTTAGATTTGTTGCCAATTACTTTGGGCTATGTTCATTGAAAAAAAATAAGCTTTAAATAAGAATATACTGTTCATTGTCTCATCTGATAGTAGTACCAAGGGATATTTTGTAAAAATCCTACCAGATCCAAATAAATTAGAATCCCTATTTTACTTTCTAAACCTGTGGAGGTATTTTTCAGAGCTTTCATAATCTTGACTAGAAAAACAGATGTAGTTAGTTTTGTCTCCTGAAACTCTCTTATCCATTGTCACACACAAAATAACAAATCATTCTCAGCCAAGAATTCAGCCTATAATTCACTCTTGGCACTTTTGAGTTTTGTTTAATTTAGACAAAAGCCTATGTTCTTTCAAGTGATTTTTATACCAGAAATTTTATGAAATTACCTAATACTATTTTTATAAATTCAATATATTGTTTTTCTAAATACCTGTTCATCATTATTGAAGTAGTGAACAAAACACATGATAGGAATAGAAAATAGAAAACTGAGCATGTCCCAGGTTGATGGCTATTGTAGCAGGTGATTTCAGAAAGAGCTTCCAGATAATACCCTTGAGAGTTGCCAACTGAAAGGTGTTAGCAATACTATATACCCCTTGGTAACCACAAAGAAGAGGAGGCTAAGAGTAACTTCGGTCAACTCAGGATAAAGACTCTGGCTCCATGATAACTTAACAGGACTAAACAGCTTCAGAAATCACATTTGAAAAGGACTCTCAAACATAATTACTGCACTATTTAACTGTACGAAAGAAAGTATTGTTTTTCAATGTTCATAAGGTGTTCTTGTTGAGACATAGAAAGGATTCGAAATTTTTTAAATTCCTTTATGCCAATCAGTCTCGAATTTAAAAAGTGTTGTTTTTCTTTCAAGTAGGGCATATTCTCCTAGTACAAGGTGTGCTTGTTATCTGAGTATGTATTTCCAAAGGCCTGAAGTTAAAAGACTGCACAGGATACAAAATAGACCCTCACAGATTCTCTGAGAAACAGAGCACTTATTAAGTGACCCCATCAAACTATGTCTGCCCACTTTAATGCTGGCATGGAGTTTAGCCAAAATCGTCAACAGTCCCGTTAGTCAGTCTCGAGCTGATTGCAGAAATTTGGAAAATTCTGATAATTCAATATAATTACAATGAAATTAAGTTACATCTACCAAGACATAGGATGTCATTAAGTTGATCAAATTAACATTGGTAAATTCCTTCAATCATACTCAACACCATCAACAAATAAGAACTTGGCAAAATTACACAACTTAAAATATATAAAAAGAAAATAAGAATAGAAGTCCAAAAGAGCATGTTGATAATCAAAGTATTAATAAAAGAAATGTTTACAAAACTGAATATGTCCAAAATATTTTTCAGAAATGATCACTTGAAGAAAATCACATTATCATATAATGTCTACAAGATTATGCAAAAAATTTTCATTTTTGCAAACATAACCTAATTTTCTTAAATAGAAGATAAAATAGAATAATTTAAATAAATATATTAGTTCTTTTAGGATAAAGTCCCAATTATTTTTTTCTACTCTTCAAGTAAAGTTTTGTTCCTTTCTTTAAGTAGCCTCTACCTACACCAGTTTATCTTAGATATGAAAAAACCTTCTACACTTACTGTTTCCTAACCCATTTCACTTTCATAAAAGCCAGAGAGAATTTGACATTGTAACAATCAAAACCCATGTAGAACCTGAAATGAAATCTAACTATGGTAAATATCCATTCTTTACTCTACTTTCCCAGTGATTTGCTCCATCCTAAGGATATAGATTCTAGATATGTTCCAGTGACATATTCTTGTTGATTTTAATAATAACCTTAATATCAGCACACTGAGTCTACCTATGCAATAAGAAAATAACAGGTGAACAAATATTAATTATAATAATTGGAGTGACAACTCTCTAATTTAACGTAAATTTTTATAGTGTTTATAGAATGTAGATTTACAGTATACAGACTTATGATATTCACACTAGTCTGAAAGACATCCTATATAATAAAGAGGTAATATGCAAAGGGTCGTTTAGCTACAAGTGGAGGAGAGGTACAGGAGGGTGGGGCAGAGAGCTATAGAGGTGGTGGGCGGGGTGGCCAACTGAGGCAAGCGGCAGCGAGCTACTTGCACACTGATTTGCACATGGATTCGTGCACAGATTCGAGCACAGGGCCACTAGTTTCCTCTATAAATAGAGGATTGTCCATCTTTTCCCTAGTTTGATACAGAACACCAGGTAGTCACACAAATTCTTGCATTTACTCTGATACATAAAATGGAACGCAACAGAAGCCAACAGAAAATTAAATTCAAATATTTACAGAAGCAATACAAAGGACTGAGTTTGAGATACAACAGTAGAAAAGAAACAGAAGAACTAACAGTTTAAAAACTGTCTGTGCATGTGTGTTTGATAAAGAGAGACAGAGGTAGAACAAAATTTCAGAAGTGACACAGATTCCCAGCCACCTGGGTGCCTGCCACAAGGGCACTGCCACTAAGAAAGTCAACTTGATGGGGATAGATCGGATACGCCAGGTGTGAGAAGATAGCGAAGGAAGTACTTAATAGAATGTTGAAAAATGTATGACTGAAGCTGGGGAATCAGATTAAAGCAATGCAAGTACACTTTGAGTCATCTCATCCAAACTGGAAATAAAAGGAGCTAGACTATTAAATAAAACTAACATTGTGTGCCTGCCAAGGGCCCAGTACTGTGATGTCAACTAAACTTTGCATGCACTCATTTTAATCCTAAAAGATTTAAGAGGTAGGGTTATTAGCCTCATTTCTGAAGTGAAGAAAGTAGCCTCATAAAAGTTAAGAAACCTAATCAGGGAACTGAGTTATTCTGAGATCCAGGCCTTGCCCTCATCACAGCACTGTACTGCCTTTTCAGAATAATATTTGGGAACATGGACCAAATGAAATTTCTAAGCAAGTTATAATGTGGAGAAAAGAACAGAGAGCCAAACACAGAATTCTGAACTTATCACTATCCTACAGAGCCTTAGAGCCTTCCAGCACTGGGTACATTTTCATAACGTCCTTAAAAAACTTCAATTAAAACATCCATTAAAATCAGTCAAGTGGAACTTAGATTTCCATAATCAGCAGGACCCAAGCAACTTATCCTTGGGGCATATAACCAATACAACAAACAGGGCAGTGAATTAAGCCTCCTTCAATTGCTAATTTGTTTCTACTTGTACTGCTTAGTCTAGAGTTGCGTCTTTATAGTGCGAATTATCTTTATTCTGTATTAATGCTCGTACTAACAAGAATTAGATTTCCACACTATGGAACAGGCCTGAGCTTTAGGAACTTGGCAATTGCTAAGCACTTGTTTGGAGAATTTCATGTTGGGAACCCCTTCCTACAGCAAAACGCTGCAGATCAGACAGGGCTCCTCAGGCAGGTGGCGGGCCTCGCCTCTAGTTTTCTTTCTTCTTGGTTTTGCTCTCAGATATTCCCCTCTGCTACACAAGTAAATTCTTTCAGTCTTTCACAGAAAGATCTCTCCAAAAGTTGTACGGGCTATTCTTCTGGGAATTCTCTTTGATTTGTTGCTCACTCTCCTTTTGCTGTCCATGTAACAGAGAAGATGAAACAACCTAAGAGTAAATTTTCTCTCATCTGGTTTTTTCCTCTCATTTTTTTTAACTTCAGGATTTCTTCTCTAATGGGATCCTGGTAATATGCTAAATAAAGCTCTTTCACATTATCCAAACTGCTAGTCAATGCAGCAATACATTATGAGACTTTAATAAAGAAAAAGAAATGAAATTGGTTCCTAGGTTGAATTACATTGTTTTCCAAACCTGTCAGTTCAACCAAAGAAGGAGAGGCAGTCGATAGAACTCATAGTAAGAGAGTAAGTTCAAGAATCTACAAAGAAGAGTTTCTTCTGTGAGGTTTGAATGGATTTCCTCTGTTTGATGGAATTGTGTTAAATAAAAAGTTGAATTCCAAAAAGGAAGCATATGTTTGGAGAGAAAAGTTTGCATTAATTCACTTACTGAAATAACAACAACAGGATACAAAACAGAAAGATGACTCTCTTTAAGCATATTCAGTAGTTTCTGGGTTTCTTCAAATGCAGAGGTCATAACCTGAAAGACCAGAAAAGTAAAAGGAGGTGAAAAGAATTTTTTAAATTATTTAAAAGTTAATTCAAGGAGAAAACATGAGAACTTCTATACAATCACTCAAAATATTTATAAAGCTCAATTTTTAATCAATTTTAAAGAGCACCCATAAGTTTATACCTATTAAATGTGTACCAGTTATTAATTTGTACCTGTGTAGTCTTATCTGCTTTATACCAAGTACAAAATAGAAAACTGAAAATACTGTCCAAGGAAATATCAACATCTTCTCATGATGAGAATTAGCTTGTTAGAAAATGTTATTCTCCGATTTCAAAAGATAAAAAATAAAACTTCTAAGTACATATTAAATGACACAACTCACCTATCAAAATCTTAAAATCAAATATTTACTGATCAAGAAACATAGATTCTCTTCCCCATTACATGTGTAAGATCCACAAGTGCTTTCGGTCATTTGTATTTACTACTTACATTCACGCAAACAAAACTGTAGCACTGCTCTAAGATGATTTGCTGGAGATCTCTGCCAGCATGACCCAGAGGCCCAGATGTGACTGTCACATGCTAGGAGAGAAAAAATAGAGGGGGAAAACAGAGTTTCCAAATGAGATAGAAAGACCAAACATGAACATAAACAACTTTGTTATAAATGAATACAAATTTGCTGCAGACACAGAGAGCCAAGGACCATATGAAAAATAAATAATTCTGGCTGAAGTTTATGAGGTTATCAAGAGAAAAAGCATTTGAACTAGTCCATAAATAATGATTATTATTTTAGCAAACAGGGATATTGGGAAATTATTTCAGATAAGAAAAATACGTTAAAAAGGCACAGGATATATTCCCGTACAGGCAAGTAGCCGGGGGCGTTTCTTACACAAAGAATGTATTGCAGAGAATGTTGGAATAAAATTGAAAGGTTGGTTAGCTTGTTGGAGGATTCTGGAAGCATGTTAAATTATGACAGTTACAAAGAATAGGTTTAACAAAACCTGGAGTGACTAGAGGCCAGGAAAGCAATAAGAAATTATTATATGTGACAGAGAAAAGAGTTGAACTAGGGCAATAATAATAAGATAAAAGAAGAGGTGAAGAGATAATTACTAGTGGTAGTCCCAGACTAGATTTAGAAGGAATGGTACATATATTACAAACACTTACCTAATAAGATTTTTATTCCATATAGTTCAATATTCTAATTAATTTATATTACAACTTAATTACGAAACAAGGGATCTGTTTGGAGGTATATATTACATGACTGTGTGTGTAATTCCTTTTAGATTAAATCTAAAATTGTGAATTTGTCATTAAAGTACTCCAGATCTACATATATTCTATTCAAATCTTAACCATCCAACTTCACTCTTCAACACAAATATTCTTTTTTTAAAAGTATATTGTATTGATTTTTTACAGAGAGGAAGGGAGAGGGATAGAGAGTTAGAAACATTGATGAGAGAGAAACATCAATCAGCTGCCTCCTGCACACTCCCTACTGGGGATGTGCCCGCAACCAAGGTACATGCCCTTGACAGGAATCGAACCTGGGACCCTTCAGTCCGCAGGCCGACGCTCTATCCACTGAGCCAAACTGGTTAGGGCAACACAAATATTCCTAAACTCTAAGGTCACAAACACTGGGCTCATTCTTGCCTGTGATGGCCATCCCATGTTGACTTCAATATATACTGCTTCCTTATTAAAACTATTATATAAGTATATATTTCTTAAACTCGATTATGAACAGTTAATAAATATAACATAAGCTCTTAGAAAATAAAATATAGATAGAAAGCACAGTACCCAGCATAAGTGTTAGTTGTTGTTATTATTAAAAATGTATTTGCTCTACAATTATGTGATAAATTAAAAGCTTCATGAAATGCACACACAATATTTTTACAAATGGTATTAAATATATTATCATTTTGGTACCCCCTTTAAAAAAACACAAAACAAAATTATAATTTTGTTCCTTCTTGAAACTGAGACTCTTTTAATAATTGTTTCCAGTTAAGTGTAATTATTTTATTTGGTTATATTGCTTTTCTCCCAAGCAGAAACAAACAGTGTTTTCCATGCTTGAGTAAAGAAATTTAGAGATTACCTAAATATAGCAAAGGAGTCTTTGACACCTTTGATAAACAAAGAGCGCATTAGACAATGCTATTAGGTTGTTTATGAAAAGGCTCTACAGCATCATCTATGCTGTCATTCCTAATGTTTCCACACTCAAACACAACAAATGGAACAATTTGCTGGCTAGAAGAACTCCCTGTTCTGTAAATATTATGGTTCAAAGAACATTTAAACAAAATTTAAAACAATCTTCCAATGTGTTCAGTAAAACTGAAGTATATAAAAAATAAAATGAAATACTTTCCTTACATCATAATAAAAATTTTAAAAAAATTTAGTGTTAACTAAATGCAAACATCTGCATATTCAGAATATTACTTAAAGCATGAATTTTAGGCAAGAAGATAGGCTGTCAACAAGTGTTCTCCATTTCAAGAAGAGTTAAGGCTTAACTGAGGCTAGAAGGCTTTGGTTCATGTCCCATGAGTTAGAGATTCAAAAATCTTTTTACGGATAGAATATGTTGGCTATATCATCTCTGATTCTGAATTACTCGATTTTCACCCCCCTCCTGTTTAAACAATGGCACAAATGTGGGTATACAGAAGGGAACTGGTGAGAGATGCACTTTCATTCTACCCTGTAAACAACACTAAGAATTAAAAGTCTTAGGGTTGTCTGGGGCTGCGGTGTGGGAGAAATGGGGAGACGTTGGTCTAAGGGTACAGAGTTTCAGCCCCACTTCTAGAAATATATCCTAAGAAACATGAATCACCAATCAAAAAGAGTGTATGCACTCCTATGTTCAGAGCAGCACAATTTACAGTAGCTAAGATGTGGAAACAACCCAAGTGCCCACTAGTGAATGAATGGATAAAAAAGCCGTGGTACATTTACACCATGGAATACTATGCAGTGGTAAAAAAGAAGGATCTCTTACACTTTGAGACAGCATGGAGGGACCTGGAGAGGATATGCTAAGCGAAATAAGCCAATCATAGAAAGGCAAATATCACATGATTTCACCTATATGTGGAATCTAATGAACAAAATAAACTGTTGAACAAAACAGATCCAGAGACATAGAAGCATGGAATAGACTGTCGAATCTCAGAGGGAAGGTGGGGGTTGGGGATGGGTGGGGGAAAAGAGGTCCACCAAAAAACTTGTATGCATATATGCATAACCCATGGACACAGACAATAGAATGGTAGAGGCCTGGGGCAGAGGACGAGGATGGGTTATAAAGGGGTCATTGGAAAAAAACAGGGGATACATGTATCCCATGATAAGTTTTTTTAAAGTTTCAGTTATGCAAGATGAACATATTCTGGAGTTCTATTGTGTATCATGTTGACTGTAATTAATAATACTGTATGTACATTTGAAATTTACTCAGAAAGTAAATTAAGTGTTTTTATCAAATAAAAAAAGGAAGAAAATGGTAACTATATGAGTGATGGATAAGTTCATTAGCTTGACTGTGGTGATCATTTCAAAGTGCATAGCAAAATATCAAGTTGTATATCTTAAATATACACAATTTTTATTTGTCAATTATATAGCTTCATAAAGCTGGGAGGGAAAGACTTTCTGTAATGCAAATCCAGGTTTTTGAAGGGAACCTTCTGTAGCTGTGACTGTGGCCACTGACGGCTGAGACTGGCCGTCAGCTCATCAGTCACTGCCTTGATCAGCGCTGTCTCTGGCCTGTGGGTGCTACACCTGGGCCTTCAGCCAGAGGACAGCAGCCAGGGCCTCCCCATCTTTATTTTTAGAAATCTTCACCTGAGATACTCCTTTAAGTAGTACTCTCTATTTCCAAATTTTGAGTTGCCAATTAAACTTTTCTTCGTGGTTATTTTTAGACGTCTGTGGAGGTTTTCTCAACCTAGGATTCAGCATTTACTGCACTGTTTTTATTTTATTTTGAGTTAGCTTTAAAGCACCATTTTGTAGTTACAAGCCTCTGGAGCCAAGCTCCCTGGGTGTGAACTAGCTCTGCAACAAACCTGCGGTTTATTCATTAGTAAAAGCAATACTTCAAGAGAGTTCGGAAGATTGGTTAATTTAATAGGTGAGATTTAAGGAGTAATTTTTACAGGAATTCATCCCTAAAGGTTAGCTTCCTGGAAAGCTTCAGAGAAAAAAAGCTTTCAGGCAATGAATCTCGGTAGAGTTTTGAGGTAATAAATGAAACAGGTTCCTATTCTGCCATGTTAAATGGACCTCCAACCACAAACGACAGAGCTGCTGAATCATACCAGTGGCTACCACAAGACTCATACCCCAGCCTGTTGGATAGACCAGAGAAAGTCTTGATGTTCTCCCAATCCCAAATGCTAGACAGGCAGAACAGCTCTAGGACCAAGGTGCTGCCATGTGCTCAGGTGCTGAATCCCAGGCTCTTACTACACTCGGGGAAGGGCTGATGCTTCCCTGGTAATTCAGCTTCAAAGCCACACTGCACCCAGGTTGGAGTCTGACATTCAGCCTGGAAGATCCATTTGCAATGCCACAGAACGCACTAGATGCTGTCTCCATTCCTGAGACCAGAGACTTCTCAATACCACTGTCCTAAAAAGTCTAAAGTCTAGTGTGAATGCTGCCATGTCAGCCAACCTTGCACATATTGCTATATTAAATGTTTGCTATTATCATTCTACTCACTTTCATTTAATTTCCACTTCTGAAAATTCCCTTTGAAGGCCAATTACTGTTCTATGCAAAAGTACAGGAATGTACAATGGAAAAATAGCCTTAATACTAACAAACCTGAGCACTACCACAAAAAATTCAAGGTTCCCATTTTATCATACAGCTTGTATGTCCAAATCTAGATAATGTCTAAACAAAAAAACAAAGCTGCCAAATGCACATTGGCTCAAGCTTATTTTTTCCATTGAGTTTCACTACCTTGATTAAGATAGATGTTAAGCTACATATAACTAGTGGGCAATATTGTAGCAAATGAAAAATGACTGGGGTTAGCTCATATAAATTGTGTTTGGCAGGCATATTTTGTAAATATCATCCTTTTTTCCAGGATGATAGGTTAAAAAGGTATTGCAGCAATATAACCTCTTTGTGTTTCATAGTAATGCATAAAACATTTGCAAGCTGAGAATTGGCAAGCTGACATAAACAAATCTTATCTGCCTTAATTTAACAAAAAGTCATGAAGAGTAGAGTATCCTATCCACTGATGGATGAGTTTCATTCATTCAACCAATAAATATTTATTGAAAGCTCTGAGCCAGACACTGGCAATAAACTAAACAATGCTTCTGTGGTCATAGAGCTTGCATCATCTTGGGAAGAGGAAATAAAGTTTACACCTGTGTCTCTCCAATTTCAATATGTATAAGAATCTCTAGGAATTTATTAAAAATACAAATTTTGATTCCATTAGATGTGATGTGGAGTCTAAGTATCTGGATCTATATACATAAAAGCCTAAGCGACCAAATGACCGAAAG